AGACATTGGATGAATTTGAGGCCTTGACCTAGAAAGTGATGTTTTATAATATGTGCTAAGGTCTAAAGATGCACTCATAAGGTAAATGAAAAACTTCTATCAAATAGTGGCCAAATCAAGTGAATATGTGCCTTCAGTGGTGGAGGATAAAAGGTGCCATCTTTTTGTAAATGGCATATCCAGCCTTGAAGCAAAATGGTACAGGGCTTAAGAGAAATTTAAGCAGGTTAAAAAATGTTCTAGGTTTAAAAACTCCCACTCTCCTGCAACCTATTACATTCTACGTGGTTACTGTACCCAGCCTGGTAGAGAACTACTTTAAATGCTGATGTAAAAAAATTGCTTTTAGTAAATTTCTGCTTCAGGATGAACAGTCATTTCAACCATGTAACTCCAAAAAATGCTTTGCAGAGTAAGTTAAAAGCAATGGCTTCCAAAGGATCAGCAAGTGTAATCACAGAAGACATGATAAAAGGCCAAGACTCTTTGACATCAGACACAGGACAGCCCATTCAGCCTGAGGAAACACCCAGTGCTGCTGGAGCAGAGCAAGTGGAGAAGGAAGACGACCTCCTGCAACAAGCGGATGATCTCTCTTTCAGTCTGGATGAATTAAATGTCGCATCATCACCCGAGTCCTCCACTGTTTGTCCAAATCAAGACTATAACTTAGTGAATTCTCTGCTAAACCTCACTAAAAGTCCTGTGAGTTGGTTTTCTTGTTCTGTTTACTGTGATAAAATTACATAGTTTGGGTGCTGTGTGAAGTGGGCAGGGGGAGTGAATATACACATATGTACACACTATATTTTAGCTGTAAAAAGGAAAATGAGGTTTGTTTTGCAGGCAGTTTTTGTAAATTGGCAATTTTCTTTGCCAATTCAGTTTAAAGTAAAAATATTGTTTTTGAAAATTAATATTAAGTTTGTTGATGGTAATGTCAGTGTTTTTTGAGCAATTTGTATAGGATGCTGCACGTTTCACAGATAAGCTACATCATAGGATAATCATTAGGTTAAATATACCACTACAGAATATTTCCAAAACTACTTTCAATTGTACTGACTTAACCAAACTCACTGTTTTGTAAGGGCACTGGGCTGTCTCTAGAGGTTTGATTTATTTTAACAACAACTGCTGTATGTCTTACCCAGCTTCATCCTCAAATTCATACTCAAATTCTTTCAGAAAACTTAGGGGAGGCTTGAGTAAGCCTGTAATTGCTACAGCAGTGTTGAGAGCAGAGAACCAAATCTCTTGATGTACCTCGTTATTGTTAAGTGACAGTTTACATTGTCTGATATCTTGGTCTTAAGCTGACCTACAGCACTCGTTCTGTTGCATTTGCAAGGTTCCAGTTGCATTCTTGGTATTTGACGTGGATTCAGGTGAGATTCTTTATTTTGTACCATCCAAATTCACTAGAATTAAATTTTAATGACTGAAAAGGCAACAAAAATAAATGCATTCACTCACTGGGTGGGGAAATGAAGAGGTTTTGTATGGGAGATGTTTGCTTCTTGATTTCAAGTGAGCTTCATTCACCCTCTGATTAATTTTTCCATGCCCTTCTGCCAGGACGGCCGGATAGCAGTGAAGGCCTGTGAAGGCCTCATGCTTTTGGTGAGTTTGCCAGAACCAGCAGCTGCCAAGTGCCTGACTCAAAGCACTTGTTTATGTGAATTGTTGACAGACAGGCTGGCCACCCTCTACAAAGCCCTGCCTCAGTCACTGGATCCCTTAGACATTGAAACAGTGGAGGCAATTAACTGGGGGTAAGAATTTTATTTTTGTATTTAATAGCCAAGGTGACTTTACACCCCTCCCTGAAACTAATTTTCTATAGGTAGATAAGGTGTGTAAAATATTCACACCCCCATGCTAAAGTGTCAAGAGCAGAGCTGAGATACCAGCCACAGCATAGTGGTACGACTTTGGGTGTCCAGCGTACATGTGATTTCTGACACGGGGCCAGGTTTGGCTGCCAGTCCCTTGCAGAGATTCCTCAGGGGGCAAGTTTTCCCACTGAATTACATTAGCAGTTTGTGGTGCTGTAGCTGTAGTATCAGGTACAGATTATTTTCTTGTTCAGATGTCAAGGATTTAGGAAAAAAATTTTGCACTCTGCACAATGAGCACTGTAAGCTGCTGCAGAGGGTAGGAAGGGTGTATTTGATAACAGGCTGTTGTTGCAAAAGTTTTGCAGTAAAAAAGAAGAAGGAAAGAGTTACTGCATAACTCATCAGCATGAAGCAAAAGATACATGCCTGCTATCCTAACTACTTGCATGTTAGATTCTCAAATCATTTCTGTTCCCCGCTCTGCCTTCATTATTATGAATTGCTTGTGATCTGTTAGTGCTGAGACGAAAAGTAGGTATTTGCAAAATACCTACCAAAATTTCTGCTGGTTGGAGTTTGAAGTTAGAAGGGAAAAAACCAGAACTTTGCATAGTGGGATAAATAATTATTGGACTGTTTTACTGAAGAACATGGTGAATTTGTTATTCCATAGAGCCTTTAAATTGAGATACATGTTTTTTTTCTGAAAGATACAATCTAGTTCAGGTATACACTGTGTGGTTTTGGCAGACGTGATTGAGGTCACTTACAGAGTAGAGAAGAACAATTGGCTTCATTTTATGGTTCTCTGACTACAGGAGTTATTAATTCAGTTTCTGTGGTCTGTTTCCTGGGGAATAGACTAGGTGATCAGTTTTCCCTTCTGACTCTAGAAATACTTAACCAAACAGAGTTCTTCTGCTGCACATACTATGTATCCTTGAGCATGCCACTCAAAACCTGTGTAATTATAGCACTGCCAGATTACTAGTCTCTACCAGTAGAAAAACTATTTTAATGTTCACTTCATTGCAAGTAGATCATTATTCTGTTAAGTTCAATAAGAACGAAGTCCAAGATTCTTCAGTTACTTGTAGACTAAATAAGTATTTTTCCCTGTGTTCTCTAGTTTGGATTCCTATAGCCACAAAGAAGATGCATCTGCTTTTCCAGGGAAAAGAGCATTGATTTCGTTTCTTTCATGGTTTGACTACTGTGATCAACTCATCAAAGAAGCACAAAAGGTTCGAAATGTTTACAGATGAAGCAAATATATTCACCAAATAAGTAGTTCCAGTTGTTTCTTAGCTTTTGAGTTTGAGACATACCATTTTGTACTTTTGTTTCAGACTGCTGCTGTTGCTATGGCAAAAGCTGTGCGGGAACGATTTTTCATTGATGTTATGGAACCCCAGCTGATGCAAACGTGAGTAGCATCCTACAAGACACAACAGAACAGCACAGAATCTGAATGAAGCTGATTTTTATCAGCTGAAATACACTACATATCTGACATGAAGTTTTTTGTTCAGTTCAGAGATTGGAATCCTCACATCAACTGCACTATTGCATCGTATTGTTCGTCAAGTGACTTCAGATGTCCTGCTGCAGGAATTAGTTTATTTTATACTTGGAGAACACAGAGACCCAGAAACTTTGACAGACATCAACAGACATCCGTTGCGACACAGGTTAATCGAACACTGTGATCATATTTCTGATGAGGTGAGAAGTGATAATGATATAATAGTGTCTGCTGGTCAGTTTTGTCTTATGTAGAGTCTGTAAAAACACCGTTGTGAGGTCTTTTCATATTTGTGTTGGCTAACTTTTTCTCACTGCTAGCTCTACAAATTCCCTTTAGAAAATGAAAGCCATTTTCTCCAGCTAGCACATTGTTCCTATTAATGAAGATTCTTTGCTAAATTTGCTTGCCCTCTATCTATATCTAGTTAGGCTTGCTTATGTGTGAGATAGGGCAAAATCAGTTTCTGTAATTGCATCTTAATTTGTGCTTTGTTGTATGTTGCATCGCTGTTATTTTCCATGTTGTGTCAATTCTGTCATGTTATCACATAATGTACAGTTAAAAACTTAATTTTTATATAGAGTAGATGTGGTCAGAGAATATACACAATGCCAATTAAAAGATGATGTAATAACTTTAAGCACTTTACACACAGTAAACAAAATAATTTACTTCAGTAAAATCCTCCTAAGAGGCTGTTTGTTTCATTTTTTCCATGAAACAATTTCCACCATCTGGTTTTTCAACTAAAACCCAAGCTTGCCTGAAATACAGATCTGTGCCTTCACATATCCATTTATTTCAGTATCCTTACCTGCTCACCCTTTCAGAATTAGTTATCTGTGTAAATTAGTTGATCTTTGCAAAGCTAAGCACTCTAAAGCTGCCTTTAAAAACTCTCTGTGTTGCTTAAAGTCAATCTCCTTTTTAAAACCTACCTAATATCTCTGTGTTAAAATCTTAGCCTATAGTTCTAATCACAATATTTCAGTATTACTTTGTTTTATTTTGAGTATTTATTACTGGCTTTAAGTCCTGTTCTGTGTCTCACTTGCACAATGATCACCCTCTTCCAGCTTGGATCTGATTGTAATGCGGAAAGCTAAGTTGTAAGTTCTCTGGATGTTCTCTGTATTGTTATTTTAGCCGATTTTAGAACAGGTTTTGTTTTACAGCAAAACATATTGCTTTTCAAATGTTCATGAACTCTTCGTCCATGTTTATACCAGATTCAGCGTAACACTTTCCTGATTTTTCTTAGGATTTTTGCTTCCTTCCATAATGTAAATAAGTAATTGCAATGTTCTAGGATGTGCAAGCCAGTTAGAAAGCAAAAAGCATAAGGCAGCAGTATATCAGTTTATTGAGTTTTTACTTCTTATGTTGCAGATCAGCATAATGACTTTACGAATGTTTGAGCACCTTTTGCAAAAGCCCAATGAGCATATTCTTTATAATTTGGTTCTGAGAAATTTAGAAGAAAGAAACTACATGGAATACAAGCCTCTCTGTCAAGAAGATAAAGATGTAATAGAGAATGGACAGATTGCAGGAGCAGTGTAAGTTTCTTTTTTAATGGAAGTTTACACAACAGCTAACTTGGATCCTTATCTTTAGAACAAAATGGTTTTTTTCAGTAAGTGAAAGAAAAGTGAGTGTAGACAGCACTTTGAGTGCTCTATGTATTAATCCATAGCCATAAAGCAAGGCAGAAATTATTATATCAGCAACTTACAGAAATTTTTAGCACAGTAACAGAAAAGCTAAAATTAACAAAAGCCTCTTTCCAGAACAACAGGCACTCAAAGGTCTTCATATATCAATATACTTATGCATCTACCTAGCTTAAGTCTACGTATATTTGTATTGTTTCCAGTGAGATTATTCTTGAAGGCAGTCACTTAGGTGTCTTGCTTACATTTATGTTATTGAATCATTTTTTGATGCAAGAACTTTTCTGGGACACTTTGTGTAATATCCTTTTAAATACCCTATGTAACTCTTGTAACTTTTTTTTTGCTGATGGAGGGGTAAGGACTAGTCACACCAGCTATTTTAGGCATCTTAATTTAGATATTTCTGAGTCATCTAAAATAATCTAATCATCTTCTGGAATATAACTCTCATGTAAAAAATATGGCTAAAGAGTTTGTGTGATTAAATGCAGTGATTTTGTACGAGTCAAAAATATCAACTCTGTTGTTCAGATCAAGAGGTTATGATTTTTCTTCAAAACAAAGTTTGTTAGGTATTTGGAAAGGTTGGTATTTCTGCATATTAATTAGGTAAAAAGATGTGCATATGATAGTGTTCTGGAAATCATCCTTGTTGTTCAGAGAAGAAAAATAGAAAGCATACCTTTTGACCCAGAGATTTTCCTGCCTTCCATAACATCCTGTGAATGATTATGTTTTTGTCTCTCATAATCTCAGAGACCTAGAGGAAGATCCGTTATTTACTGATCTGTCTCCAGATAACACATTGTCAACTCAAGAGTGGCTCAGTGCTTCTCCACCTGTCAGTCCAGAACATCCGAAAAATGATGGAAAGACTGAAGTTCATAAAATTGTAAATAGGTGAGTTGAAACAAACACTTAAAGAAATCTCTGAATGTGTGGGTGTCTGCACACACCGTGCAAATTAAATGTACTCTGTAATGCATGTTATTCTGTACCAGCTGGTAAAATGACTCCGCAGAAGGAAATTATGTGGCATTTTATCAGAAAGCTACTCTTCAAAGATTAGAGCTTACAATAAGTAAAAATAATTCAGCATAAATGAGAAAAATAGAACTTTACAGCTAATAATCTAGTTGAGTACTAAGAATTCAGAATGAAAGCCTCATGGATTATAAAACTTTTTTTCCTCAAAAATATTTGCTATACTGTAACTGCTGTTACAGGACTTGACCTTCCTGGAGAAGTCTGGGGAGTGTTGCCATAAACATTTTAGGGGAAAAAAACCTTCAAACATCCTAAAGGTCCTTAAACACATGTATAAAAGTAAATAATTGCCATGCTAGAGATAACCTTCTGTTCCCTGAAAATTAAGGGGCACCTCTGTCACCTGTAAAATACCTTTGTGCCTGTTAGACATACTGCAAATTGGATATCACAAAGAGGTCAGGCTCTGCTCTAAGCAACTTAGTGATGGTAATTCTCTTAGCAACTAATATTAGGACAAATGCTGTTTGCTCTGTTAATACGTGGTAGCAAAGCAGCACTGGTATTCCAGTGCTGACCTACCTACTTACACAGAAATAATCAAAGGTGCTAGCCAAAGGAAGCAAACAGCCTGAGGACAGTCAGCATAGAATGGCATAGTCGCTTCTTGCCCTCTTTCCCCCAGTACTGCTATATATAATTTATGGTGGACATGGTTTGGAGGAAAGACGCAAAGAACACTCTGCTAAATTCACCTCGTGTAATCTCCATCAGTGAACAGAAATGTTTTCAGGATTTGCAGTGTTTTGCAAATTTGTATTTTTTTCAGATAAGATGAACTCCATATGAAAAGTCAGCTACTACGTATTTTTGCATACAAATCTTACAGGAGCCTCCAGTAGTTTTTGGAGTGTGGAGAAAGCTGAAATTTGGAAACAGGGTCCAAAGACTGAGTTTTATTTTGCTGTCCAGAAATTCTAGGGATTTTCTTTATTTTTTAAAGACAGTTCCTATCTAATAAGATTCAGAATTTCCTGATGCTTTTTAGGTCAGGTGTTGATGAGATAATAAGGACATATGCTATTTGCACTACATACCTGGCAAAGGCAATGATGTTTGTAACTGGGACATTTATACACAAATATTCCTATATGTTTTTAGATGTTCAATTTTCACCACAACAAACTATGGTAAATAAAACTGCCTATACAGTTTTAACTGGAATTCTCCTTCTCTTTTGGCTCATTTATTCCCCAGTAAATTTTCCATATGCTCTAGTAAGATGGAGTCTGACCTTTAGCAAATACTTGACCTGGTTATGAATATTGCTTTTCATCTCCATTCTGTCTGGTAATTCTCAGAAAATGCTTCTGCTCAGGTTTTTACCTGAGTGCTAGATACAAAAGTTCTGAAGTATGTATCTTGTTATTACTAACAGTAGTTAGAATAGACATGCTTAAATAGATTTTGTATTCTCTGTTCCTCACATAAAGTTATGGTAGAATCTATGGATTAATTGGCCAGACAATTCAGTATTGTGTACGCTGTTACAGATGATTAGAAAGTATTGATCTGGTGCTCTGTGGATTATAGATATTCATTAATGTACTTTTTTTCTCTTCAGTTTTCTCTGTCTTGTACCTGATGAAGCTAAGTCGTCGTACCATGTGGAGGGTACAGGTTATGACACTTACCTCAGAGATGCCCACAGACAAGTAAGTCAGTGAAGTCTTTCTTGGTCCTTGAGAATTTGAATTGCTTCTGAGAATATATGAATGGTTCTATAAATAGTCCTACTAAATGCATCATTTGGTAATGGAAGATGGGAAAATTCAATTTTTATTTTCTAATGAGAACTTACCTTTGGAGATCTTTTGACGGTGAATCCACCTTGTATTACTCTAGTGGCAATAATGGATGACATTAAATGCATTAATATTCATATAACAAATACACGGAGAGAAAATCTGAACTGCAGATAGATTCTTAATTTGCTTTTGCATTTATCTGCATTCTCTTGGAGAATTGCCTGCCAAGCTGTTTGGAAGGACTAAAGGGAAATTAAAATGCTGCATAGGAGTTATGCAATCTGGGACTTTAAAAATAAAGGCTCATCACAGGGAATGCGCAGCCTAAGGCGTTCAGGTTTGAAGTTGGGAGTTTTAGTAAGTAGAGAAAGCTTTATGATTTACTGTTTTGAAATAAATGTGGGTTTTGTTTTTACAAACGTAATGTAAAGTTTCCTTGGTCAGAGGACAGTCACTGTCTATTTGCAGTTTTCTTATTGAAGCCCTGTGAATCTTCTAGAATAGAAAAAATTATGCAAAGGAGTAGAGTAACTGAGAGCGCTATATTTAGTAGGTATTTCAAAAGTTCCATAACCTCTGAATGACAATATCAGCAGTTTAAGATGGGAAGCTTGGATTTCTGTATTTAATACATTGTTTTATCTGTAGTCTCTCCTGAAAAGTCAGAGAATAGAAAATAGAGAATAAGGGAACAAAGGTTGATGTAAAATTCCCCTATGTTCTATTCTTGGATGCCAGAAAACACATATCATCTTTGTATTTCTTTCATGCCATGGAAAAAAGAGTATTCTGGGAGTTATTAGAGAACAGAATTGGTTTCTGTCACTTCGTGACAATGATATGACTGCTCTTAAAATATTTCCCCCCTAAGAATAGCCCTGCCTATTGCTGTTATTACATCCAAATAGCTGTTCTGCTTCCATATTTCTGTTCTGGAAGCCTGTACAAGTAGGTGAGCTACATGCAGTGAAGAATTCCTGAGTTTGTTTTGTCTCTCTTTTGCTTCTGTTTATTCCTGTGATCCTTATTTTCACTGCTGTAACCTGTACTCCTTTCAAGGTATAATTCCTTGAAAGTGAGACATCAGGCAGTCCACAGCAAATCAGAGGCAGAGGTTGAGAAAGACTGTTACGTGTGATAGGAAACAGAGAGGGAGGAGGAAGCCCTGAAGTACTTTTCATTTGTATAATCCTCTGCGTATACATGTGCCTTTCCTGTCCTGGGAATTAAGGAGCAATATAAATTGAATACCAGGATAAGCTACACATAATACAGTGAAAGTGTGGTAAAGTACTGACAACAAGAATGTATACAAATGCAATTCCTGCTTTAGAAGAGCCCTGATCAGGATGTGTATTGTTGGCTTAGCTTTGTGTTTTTGCCCCAGCTGCTTTTTGGGAGCTCTATTCTCCACTCATTGTTTCTGAAACTACCCTAATAGCATGAATGTCAAGAAGAGAATGAGGTGCCTGCATAGAAACTGATAGTGTTCACTTTAGAATGACTGTTCTTTTTGATCTTAGATTTATCATTTAGCTACAGATTATGATTTCAGATGTATGGAGTATTAAAAGGAAATTAAATGGTTTCCATGGAGGTTTAAGTCTCTTTTCTTTTTTCTTTTTTTCTAGTTCCGGGATTATTGTGTCATCTGTTTACGGTGGGAGTGGCCTGGATCTCCCAGATCTTTGGAAAAGTGCAATTTAGAAGCATCGTTTTTTGAAGGACACTTCTTGAAAGTCCTGTTTGAAAGAATGGGCAGGATTCTTGATCAGGTAAGAAAAAGCAGGTTATGAACTCCATTTCTGATACTTTCATCACTACTAAAGGGCTAATCTCCATAAGGTCCTGTGGCTTCCCATCACTCTGATGTCTATTATAGCATCCTATTATTGTGTAATGTCCCATGTCCTTGGTGCAGGTCTCTCTAGATTGCATGATGTTACAGTGATCAGTCGTATCAATTTAACAAAAGTAGAGAACAAAAACTCTCTTATCTTTATTAGCCACCTTTTTGTGTACCAAATGTTTTCTTTACCAGAAATATCATTTAAATTGATAAGTAAGAAAAGAATATCCTTAAGATAAAAGGTGAGGGTAAGATAGTATCTTAGTATTCCTTCAGTACTAGCATTACTGGTTCTGTTTTCGTTTTCCAGCATTTACACTTGGAAAGCATGTACATTTTTCAGTAAACAAAATACTGTACAGGTCCTTTCTGGCACATTTCAGTGAACTTCAATCTGAAGTCTTGTCCAGGAAGCAGTTTACATCAGTGTGTAAGATGAGAAGAACTTACTGTGTCACTGCTAACATTTTCCCCATTTTTTCATAGAAAAAAACTGTTATTTACCAGTGCGTGGAAAGTTTCTCGAAGGTATCCTTTTCCATCTGCAGTGTAAAGTAGGTTTTTTTCCAGTTTGATTACCTTCAAATAATAAAAATATAGCTGCCAAGGGCAAACCAATGAGATATAATCTGGATCCTTGCTCTGAAAAAGAGGTATGACATATAAGACCCAGATTAGTATAAAGGAATTTAAAGAAAGTGAATTTTCCTCATGTCTGTGTGTTTCTGTATGGCTGCATGACCTAGTCTTCCTGGGGAGAAGCAAAGTGAAGGCTCAGGGAGGTGAAAAGGAGATTGCCCTATACGAAAACTGAACGTTTCTTTGCCTTCTCTAAAGTCTGGACATGTTAGTCAAGTTGACGTTGCTGCTTCAGATCAAGAAGAGAATTTTTCTTACCAGTGAAAATGAGGCCTGAAAGTCTAGATTACCCTCCCTATAATACCAGCTGGAGTTTCTACAAATGCAGTAGTACCAATTTCAGAAGTTTGTACAATTCTGTTTTGCATGTGGAGCTATCTACAGAATAAACAATTAGCTTTGGTAGTGCCAGGTTTCCTGGTCATAAGCAGGACAAGAGCCATTTGAACATACAAATGCAAAGGAAACATGTCAGGAAGGCAGTAGGAGCCTCCAGGTCAGCTCTGTGAGTGTTCAGGGGAGAAGGAGATGTTTGAGAGTACCAACTTTCATAATTTAGAAGTCAGAAAAGAAAGACAAATACTTCCATTGCTATATTGTCTGTTCTCAGGGGTTTGCTTCCAGTAAACGTGTTCTGCACACTTCACTAGCTGAAATGGTTGTAGATTGAAATAATGAAGAAAACTGGGCATCATCAACTCTTAGGAAAAACAATCCTTATGGATATGAAAACCTTGTCTGAGCAATGTCACATAAATCATAAAAAGTAAACAATACAAGTTACATCCCCCACGAAACACCTGAGTGTCAGATAGACATGATTACAACAAAAGTGGCATCTGGCATGGAAGCACAGTGCCCAATTTGATACACTGCTTGTTAGCATGACACACATTTGGGTTGGTCAAGCAAAATGTTATAATCTGTGGTGTCAAAAATGGTTCTTGATTCCAGAAGAATTAAAATGAACTGCCTGAATCAGACAGAAGGGGTGAATTCTTATTACATCATACCAAAACCCTATCTGAAAAAACAAACTGAAATTCCTAGGGGTTATTTACAGTGAAACACATAAATCACATAGAGGGGGGAAAAAAAAAAAAACAAACCAAAAAAAAAACCCAAGAAAACCTGGGTCCTGTCAATGACAAATTTGACATAAAGGGTCCTAATGGCCAGACAAAGTGAAAAATGTTGAAAAGCCTTTAGTGGGGACACAGTACTACTTACAGATTGTATTCAGTGTCTTTTTTGCTTTGTCACAATACTGTGGGTAGCTCCTGTGTTTTTATCAGTAGATATCAGAAAATTTTGCAGAGGTGTAAGTATCATTAACCTAGTTTCTGACAGAAGATAGCTGAGGCACACAAGTGAAGTAACTTCTGTCAAGGTTGTTCAAATCCAGTACCTCATCTGCTAGACAGTATCTTCTTCCTCCTGTTATTGTTACACATTTATATGGAACTGATTATTTACTAAGAATTTAGTAAGAATTTTCTGAACTGCAAATTTAGCTGGTTGTAACCTTTTTAGTTATAGAGAAATTTTTTAGGATATTATCTGATATAAGGCTGTCTTACTGAGTCTACTGACATATGGACAGAAATAAAAGCTTTGTGTGAAGAAGCAGATTTCCTTAATGCTCTCAATTAGTTCAAATCGCAACAGCAATCTCTCTGAACAATGCAGCACGTGTTACTACTTTGTTTCCTTCTCTTCTTGTGATTACCAGATAATGTTTATGGCTTCAAAGCTTCCTAATGAATTGACTGACTCAGGCAGCTCTAAATACCTTTTCCTACAGTTCAGCTAGGTAGGCAGTGGAATGGGATTTATGGAAGGAATTTGTGTCTCTGTCTGCAGAGTAACTTTTCCACAATAACTTAAAATGTAACGATCTCTTTTACCTATAACATCTCTGGTCCAGGGTCTGAAAGCTTCATTTGTTAGAAGATTGGGATGAATCTATTGCTGGAATAGCAAGTACAGAAATTACTGCCACTGACTGGGAGAAATATGTCCTTTCACTTCAAAAGATCTATAAGACAACTCCCTTTGCAGTGCAATAGTATGTGGTAATCAATTCAGGAATAAGGTACCTAAATATTAGTTAGGCATCCACATCTAGTCAGGGGAAATTTTGTCAGAACAGCGCCGGTAGTCTCTGGAGCTGTTAGACTGAAAAGCAAGTAGGTGTCTCTTTTAGTGTGAGGTGAATCACCATCTCAGCTTCCTTGACTGTATTGACTGAAAGCTTGACTCAGTTGCCTGAACTGAGGTATCTGTTGCCATTTTTTTGATGCCCAAGATATTCCCACATTCTTGTGGTTACAACACATACCTTGCAGGATCCACCCTCTGTGGAACTGTCAAGAGACCAGCGGATACTTGAGCATCTGAGATGGCATGAGATGTTTGTGTGTAGGCAAGTGTATCAGATGTCAGATCTCTGTTGAGTAGGCTAATGCGAGCTTAGACGTGTAGACATATCTAAATATATCTGTCTTAATCTGAAGCTGAATTCTTCCAAATCTTACAGTCTGGAAAAGGGAAGAATCTGTTCTCTGATTCTTCAGTGGAATGCTAACTTGAGAGCATAAAGATGATATTTTGAGGCCATGAAATCATCCTATTGTAGATGTGATTATGCCAGTGAGGATGTTACTGCCAATATGCAGTCAAAGAGATTGAGTGAGGGACCAGTAGTCCACTTCAGGTAAAATCAACAAGGTTAAGTTAAACCATCTGGGTGTTGGTGACATCTTCAGACTGGCATAGGGGTATGCAAAGGGAATGTCCGTCCATCTCTTGTCAACGTAGTCTATTCCACCACTGAATAGATGGAAGAAAATTCCACTAGTTTGCAAATTTGGAGCTGAAATAAAATGTTAGCTTGTTTTCACTGTGATGAGAAAATCAAAGATGAAAAAAGAAGTGCTTGGAACATAAAGAAACTATGGTCAAAATACTTGCTTTTATGGAAATGAGTTTATCACTGGAATAGTAAAATCCTTTAAGCTAGGCACTATTTTTTTCTTAGAAAGTTAGGTACTACTTTTTGTCGTTATGACTGATTAACGTCTTCCAGCATCTGACAGTGTTGCCCCTCCCATTTGGTTGATTTGGGGAAAGGAGGTAGAGAAGCAGCTCAGAATTTCAAGCTGCTTTTCCAGCCTAGGACTGTCTCATCTCCTGTAGCATGCTGCCACAAGATGACCAGGCCTTCTGCAATGGTTCTTTCCAAGAAAAAAGAAAGTAGAAGAAGAGCGATACCATATTAGCTGTAAACACAGATTTGTCTCTCAATTACCTGAGCTCATACATTTTACAGTTTTCCACGAGAAGCAAGAACTTGTTTAGGCTGATTCTGTGCTATTTTTTTTTAGCTACTGAGCTGAAGAAATGTTTTACAGGGAGAGGACATATCCTACAGTAAACAAATGTGCAAAACCTTCAAGTGGTTGTAGCGGTTATACAGATAATAACATCTAATACCTAACTGTCATATTCACATCACTTCTGTTGTGGAAAGCAGAGGTTTTGAGCCTGTCTTCTAATCTAACTTTTTCTCTTTGTTTATTCATAACCCTGTATATAAGGTTCTAGTAGTTAAATAAACACTGGCTGGATGAAAAAAAAACAGCATGAAAATAATGAAGCACTGTGTTTTCCTTTTTTTGCAGCCCTATGATGTAAATTTGCAAGTTACGTCAGTGTTGTCCAAACTGTCCTTGTTTCCCCATCCTCATATACATGAATACCTTTTGGATCCTTATGTAAACCTAGCTTCTGGCTGCAGGTCTCTCTTCTCTGTTATTGTCAGGGTGAGTAAACACACAATGTTTACATATGGCTATACAGGAGCGATATATCTAGTAACTTTGTAGTTAGTGGTAGTAGTTGCTGGGTAGTTTAAGTTGACAAATGACTTCTCACTGAAAGTAGATACTTATGCCCTTGATTTGAGTCAAGATTTTGGATTTTCTACCAAAACCATTGGAAAATTTATTTCTGTGTCCTCATGTCTTCAGAATTGTTTGTTTGCTTAGTTTCATTGTGTAGATGCAAAATATCCTATCTGGCAATGATGTTGCTTTAATTTGGACTAGGTCACATTGTTGTCACTTGCAGGCAACATCAGGTAGTGCTGTAAGAACAGGCCCAGTACAGGTTTGCACCTGGATGGGAGAGAGATGGCTTTGATACACACACAAGCAAAGGACACTTCTGAATACCCTGTGCCTGCATGAATATCTCTGCTCGTCCTCTTTTTTGTCTGGTGAAGGCCATTCTTGACAATGAAGTCCTGGATTTATCAAAAGTCGCCTTCCTTTCTCTCTCTGATTCCATCTCTTCCTGCCAGACCTGCATCCTAGAAGTGCTGGCTGGGTGCCTGTCACACTGCAGTCTTCTCAGTCAGAGATCCCTCGCCTGCCCCACGCACCAGCTGTTATTAAGCTGGTCAGGAGCCTATTAATGATGCTTGCCCAATGCTAACGGAGGGCTTAGCTCACTTTTTCCCAGCAGCCCTCCCAATTTCAAAATATAATCTTCACTCTCTTCCCTTGTGCTTTCCCTAAACCCAGGAATTTACTGGTCAGATGCCTGCGTCAACATTTACTGAGACAAATTAATCATTGACATAATTAAAATAAGTAATGCCATTTGTGGCGACAGCAAGTAAGGCTTCAGAGTTCCTGTCCTTTCGTATCTCTTTACTTTCTGCACCCACTCACCCTTTTTGGGGCAGAGCAGCTACTCTGCATGTTGTTTGGTGAGCCTGTGAGGATGCTGAAGTGGGTCTGCACTCTGGGCTCTGAAGGCTGTCACTTAACCTTGCTGCCAGGCACTCTGCAAAGGTGTTAACTTTGTGTGTTGATGGCATTGTGCTTTACAGGTCGTCGGGGACCTCATGGTTAGAATCCAGCGCATCCCAGATTTCACTCCCAAACTTCTGCTGGTCAGAAAACGCCTGCTGGGCTTGGAGCCAGAAGGGCCCATGTGAGTAAATACATTGCATATTCTCCAAGCCCCATGGCTGGTTTTTGTGTGTGCCAGTCTTGATTCTCTGCTGATTTTTTTTTTTTCTTCTCAGCATTGACCACATGACGTTACTAGAGGGCGTGATTGTGCTGGAAGAATTCTGCAAAGAACTGGCAGCAATTGCATTTGTGAAGTATCATGCCTCATCTACACCGTGAGCAGCCTTGATGAGCAGCCAGGCTGTAAAACCACCCAACTTGTTTCAGTCGAAAAGGCTATTGACAACACCCAGCTAAGAAGAGGTGGTGCCTCCTGGCAAAGTGTCAGTTGACATTTGGCAGAATTGGAAGACAAATTATTTTCACCAGATGTTGACATTGCAAGAGAGAGGGATTCAAACGGACCTAGAATAGAATTGAAGGCGTTTGGGGAGAAATCAATACATAGCATTTCTAGCCACTGTGTTGAAGAGCTGCAAAAGCTGCATGAAGAACCACAGACATCAGACCTTGGTTATTCTGTTGTAATGACTGTGTTTAGAGAGTTGGATCTTTTGTATGTTCTGGGGCTCACATCCGCCAATTCACTTTTTGTCACTATATTACTTTTAAAAAGCAAATTAATTTTGTAACATTTTTATGTCTTAATTCTTTTTCTTTTCAGTTGGATATGTGAAAGGAAATCACAACTATAGTTGCAATGTATATTATTAAAAATGAGGAGAGATTCAAAAAAATTCACCAGTCCATATACGGTAGGATATATTAATGAGGGATCATTTTTGTTTTGGTGAACCTTATAGACAACTCTGAGCTTGATTCCCTGATGGATTACTCCAACAGATATATCAGTATAAAATGAATCCTAACGGAATTAATCCTGATTCAGCTTCACATCCATAACAAATATATCTGAAGTGTACATGTTTCTAGCATGTTTGTCTCTGTCATTCCAAGTGATGGCTCTTCAGGTTATCTGTGTAACTAGATTTGCTTTACGTTTTTGCTTGTGAACTCTAGTTGCTTGACTCATGTCACCTTTACAGGGAAGTTAATTATAGGTCATTAGTAGTTGTTGCTGAAGCAGTATTTTTAATTTCTTTTAAATTGGTGTTTAGCCTGAATTGGTTTAAGAATCTTTTGTGCCTTGAAAATTGACAGCATAAACATTCTGTCATTTTTGGAAATGTTTTTATTGCTTATCTAACCATGGCAGTAGTGCCCAGCAAAAGATTGATTGATGCCAATTCAGTTAAAGCGTTAATACCATATATAGGACCAAAATTTGTACCTGCTTTTCATAGTGCTGGGATGCAGAAATGTCTCTCAGTGAATCTTTTTTGATATGAATACTGTCAGCCAGGGCAGGCATTTGCATTGCAAGCGGAAGGCCATTCAGACTTCAGCATGCTTTGCTTCTCTTTCTGTAGCGTGATGGCAGCCTGCGCTGCAGACAGCTCTTGCTGCTCACTGCAGCCTATGCACTGGCAGGTGGGATGGCTGTGCTTTAACCTCCAAGACACACGGAGTGACTCGGATGAGACCTGTCCTGCTCTCCGCACAGGTGTGTGGTACCTCTTTCCCCTCCTATGAACGTAAGAGCATAGGCAGGCAAGATAGAGTTTAGCTCCTTGTGTTTACATTGCATTTCTTCGTTTGTCTTTCCTGCTATTCTGTTTGCACAGCTAATGCCCATTTCAGATGTGATTGCTCATATGCAAATATAGACTAATTTACTCAGTCACTGGAATTTTTCTGGATTTACATGACTCTACCTGGAATGAGATTCTACTCTGAATCCATGCCTTTGAGGTCTTGGTTTTTAATATTTATGGAACCTGGATGTTGAGAGGCCTTTTAAGTTAGCAGGTTAATTAGAACAGTGTCACAGTTAATGGGCTAAATTTATTCTTGTCACAACAGTGAAGAGGGTCCTGCTGTAAAAGCCACCAGTACAGGTTCAGCTGGAGAGATCTGGGGAAACATTTTGACAGGTAAAACCTGTGTTCAGTGGCTCCCTATACTGGGAGGCTTTTATACAAAGCGTTGCCTTTATCTGGCAAACAAAAGCATGTTTTACTTCCTTACCTTTTATTTTCCTGAATTTAGCCCCAAAGTGTTTTCACGTCAAAGTAGCATAGTAGGATAAAGTTTAAAAAAATGACATTCATTTTTGTTCTTTAGAGACATACCTTGAAAGTAGCAAATAATTTTTAGTGATATGTAATGCAGTCAGTCCATATTAGAAGCTTTGTTAGTGTAACATACCTGACACATAGTTTAGAACATGTAAATGTTTATGCAGAGTGGTTTAATACATACATTTGTTATAAATAAGGTCCCAATTCAGCAAAGCAGCTAAACATCAGCTTAATTTCAAGAATTTTATTCCTAAATCATAGTCTTTTACATGAACAGAGTTAAGCTGTTGAGCAGAAATGCTGATGCTTTACTGAATTTGGGTCTTTGTTCATTTTGCTTGAGCGTAATTACTTTTTCCTGAAATTTTCTATTTTCATTATTTATTTTTTTAAAAGCATGTGTTCCAGAATATTTCTAATGTCCCAATTTCAGTGGAAACTGGAAGTGATACTACTACTATAAATGGAAGAGAGAAATGTTAAACAAAATGTGCAAGAGCATTCCAAGTGATATAACAATTTATAAAGCCATTCAAGAGATGCCTGATCTCGAATGAAAGCATTAATGTCACCTCTTTTGTTGTAGTTGTTGTCATTGATTTTAGTGATACCTGAGCTCATTACACTCTAAGGAATTGTATCAGTCAGCTTCTGGAAGGACTGCTGCAACCTCCGTGGCATTTTAATGCAAAACAGTCTACTGAGCTGCAAACACAATTCCTTCAAGCTTGTCCATGAGAAAAATAAGTAGATATAACTATAAGCACTCTTAAATTCAGGATATAATTGTTCGGTCTCCAGCAACATTGGTGATGTTCTTGCAAACCAAATGTTATTTAATTGATAAATTTTTAGTACATGGATCCATCCTGATAGAAGTGAAGCAATGCTTAAAGTTGCTTTAAACTAAATTGCTTTTGAGAGTGCTGCCTACAAACCCTTAATTACCATACATGATGACAATGACACTTATTTTTGTAAAAGTGATTTAATCCTCCTTAAGAAATGGAACTCGTTTATTTTTTGTGGTGATATTTTTCATGCACTTTTTTTTTTAAAAAGAAAAAGGTTAGAAGTTATTTCAGGTCCATGTTTTCACCTTTCTGATCTATGCATGTCATTGAGCTGCCCATATGTTTCTGTGTGTGTGTGTTTGTATGTGGTTATTTATTACCCAGAGATGGACACCTGAGAAAATATGTGACCTGAAGTTCACAGCATATGCAGATCCTCCAGATGTCAGTGGGAAATGCAATCACCTTAGAAAATACGACCACTAGTATTAGATTGAAATTCTTGAGAGGTAATACTAGAATAATTTTTTTTTTTTCAAAAAGCAGATCCAAACCACATCTTAATCCTGATGCCTATGTGTGTAAATAGACACGTTTTTTACTTTTTTTTCCATTTGTAGTATATATATGATTTAGACTCTGATATAGAAAATTTTGTAATAAGCCATGTGCTAGCTCTGGTAGAGCAAGTTTGTCCTTAGTTTCTCATATGACTGTAGTGTTCCTGGTATTCAGATCCTGTCTGTGTAATGTTCTTACAATGTATTTGTCTGTGCAATATAAAAGCTGTGACTTGATACACAGCTTGAGTCTGGTTGTACATCACCTATGTATATGTATATATATACATATATATATATATATATAAGGACCAGAATCCCGAGCTTGCTTACACTACGATTAGTGTAAAGATTGTCACACTTGATTTTACAGGGCACAAGTAATGGAATGGCTTTGTAAATGCATGGTAATTCCTACCATAACCTGCTGTGTAGTTTCACCAATGACATTTTATTAGTGCTGTTTGTCTTGCTAAAAGAAATACTAAACCGAAGTGCTAGGTAAAATGGAAGGATTATGTAGTAGACTTGGGGCTACATGGAAAATCCATATCTGATATTGCATATCCTACAGGGTTTTCAAACCATGATCCTCAGTGCTTTCTGTGCCCTGTAAAATAGTGTAGCTATATAAAATATATACTCCTTGTTTTGCCTCCTGCCTTGTTTACATTAAACAGAGGATATTCAGTAAAATTTTTCTATTAAACTTTGTGTAGGTCACTTACTGACAGTGTTGCCAAGGTTTCACAGGTGTGGGATTTCCAATGAGGAACTGTTGAAACAGCCACATTACCAAACATACGATATTAAGTTTTATGAAGGAGGCTGTGATAAAATCCAACTTTTTGTGCTAAAAAATGCATGGAGGATTAAAAGGGATATTCTCAAAATAAATTAATTTCAACGAAGCGACTGCTTCTGTTATTATAGAATCCAGAATAGATTTTGTATGTATGACCTTGAGACAGAAAATGTTTTAACATTTTACATCATGCCTTTGATCCTGAGTCCTTTCATTTATTTTTATTACATCCTGAAGCTCTTTCATTTATTTTGAATCTATCACTGCAGCATCTTCAGGGATAAACCTGTTTCCTGTACTGTACTCTAATAGACTGTGCAGGGCTCGGAGTGAATCCGCATAATTTTGCCCATGAAAATTGGAAGCTAAGGGACATGGCCAGGATGGAGTCATCCTGAACACAGATTAACGTCTGCTCTTCCTGAGAGCTCTGATATCTGTCCAGACTGCAGCTGGTCAAGACCTTGGTTTTCTGTTGCATTTGAGTGCAGAGTGCGTCAGTCAAAACATTAGTTTATTGAATTAGGTAAAAATGTCATGTATGTGAGTAAGCATCATTTCTTTCTTCAGGGCTTTTGAGAAAGGCTTTTATACATAGGTTTTTATATATTTTAGAATTCTATTTGTTGGGAATTTTTTCTTAGTATCTTATCTAGTTTTGGTGTCCTTCGAGTTTTCATCAGCTTTTTAAAAATCTCATTGCTCGGTAAGATCCTCTCTGAGGGCTACACTTGGATGTTAAGCTGTTTCTCCTTCTCAGTATTTAACAGGTGCAAGTGCTCTTGCATCTTTAACAGGAAGAGAGCTACAGCAGGATGATACACTTGACAGCTTTTTTTATAGCTCTCAGCACCTTTCCCCCATCCTCTTTGGTCTCAGAGATTGTCACCCTCCCACTCCAGATCATTTATTTGCTGTG